TTTAGTTACTTAGTATTTATCATTAATACTTTTAATGAAGGGAGAATTATAGTCCTGTCAAACCCGTTCGGCTAACGACCCTCCACCAGTCAAGCAAGCGGTGGGTGAGAGTGGACACCCATTAAGTTGCCATTTTATAGGCAACAACCTTATACCCACCTTATAGACCGGCTTCGTGAATGAGGCGTACTAGCGGTAAGACCGACTTTACTCTTATACATATATATATATATATATATATATATATATATATATATATATATATATATATATATTAACTTATAATATTATAAAGTATAAGGGTTGAATTTTAACTTTTAAAATTCTAAGGGCTAACTTGGAATTAAAGTATTCATAAGTGAAAACTTTACAAATTCCAAAACTTGAGGGCAAGTTTTGAAACTATTCAAAACTAATTAATTCCATAACTTATGTGTTTAAAGTAGTTTTAATCCAAAAACTCTTCAAGTTCCATAACTTGAGGACAAGTTATGGAAGACTTTAAACTAATAAAGAATTAACTTTTCTTTATTTTATAACTTATGGAATTAATTAAGGTTACACTTTTTTTTATTTTTTTTATTTAATGAAGAGACTCTTGGTCCTCCATAACTTGAGGACAAATTATGGAGTCATAACTCCAATTAATTAGAACTAGACTCTTCATTTTTGTAACATTTGCCAATTTTATGAGTTTTATGAGTCTTTAATGTGACTCTTCATGTAACTTGAGGACAAGTTACACAAACACATTTTATACTCAACTCTTAGATTAAAATGGATTGAAAACAACTATTTCAATTAACTTTTCTATTAATCTAAGCAACTCATAAGAACAAGATAATTCAAATCAAACTTTTTCATGTAATTAGTCTAACCTTTAAACTAATACAAAACATGAATCTATTGACAATTATCTTTGAAAATGGATTAGCATGAACATTACCACATTAAAAAACAAGTTTATAAGTTCAAAAACAACTTAGGGTAATGTTCCTAGTCCATTTCTAGCCAAAAACCTCGAAGATATGCTGTCTGGGGTCCAACTCGTCGAGTGCATGAACACAACTCGGCGAGTTGGATGCATTTTGCCTTGGACTCGTCGAGTCCCTTCATGGACTCGGCGAGTCTGTTGGGCTGATTGCATCAAAACTCGATTTTTCAGCTCCATTTGCAAGTATAACAAGAAAACAAGCCTAGGCTCTGATACCACTATTGGGTTATGAGCATTCTAACACTCCTAAGTGTACATGCAACCCTAAATACCTTGGATCTATGTTTTCTCTATTATACATGCAAATATGAACATCCAAGGTATTATCCTAATCTAGCATACAAACTATCAATATAACAAGATAGAATACATACCTCTTTGATGTAGAATGTCTTCATGAAGCTTGAGTGCCTAGTGCCTTAAGTGTGACACCTCAAATGGTTCACAAAACACCAAATACACTTGGAATAACTTGAGAGAATTCTACACTTCATGAAATCGGCTAGCCCTCTCTAGAATCATACTAGTGGCCCATTTTTTCTCAAGAATAAGATGCTTATATAGTTATACAATTAGGGTAAACCCTAATTGTCATGACTTTCCATTTCCTTGGATCCATGGGTTCAAATACACCATGGAGCATCCATGGAGTATCATATGGGTTTTGGCCCAACTAGATAATCCATGGAGCATTAGCCCACTATACAAGTATGGATGATTTACACAATCAACCCATATATTTAATTAGTCTTCTTTTGATCACTTAATTAATCCTAGATTAATTCTTGATCAATACTAATTAAATAATCTTATTATTCTTATTATTAATATACTAGAACTTATAATATATTAATAACCGTAAGTGTCTTATTCTCTCATTATAGTCTATCCAAGTGCATGATGCCATGCAACCCAAATGGACCATGCCGGGTCGGGTCAAGTCTTACCAATTATAGTTATGGACTTAGACATTAATCCAACATGGGCTAATACTCATTTGTTAATGGGCTAAGCTAATATGGAAGTCCATGGATGATCCATGGAGCTTTTAACCCATGGATCCTTGGAAAGGAAAAGACATGGGTTATTAGGGTTTCACCCTAACCATGCACACTATATAAAGAAGCATATGATGCAAGAAATATGGCTCTAAGTGTAGATGCTAGTTGTGTGAGACTTAGTGGTGGCCGATTCCACAAGAAAGTATACTACTCTCTCAAAGTTTTTCAAACGTTTGTGGTGATTTGTGATTCCATTTGAGGCATTCACACTATTGGTGCTTGGCTCTCAAACTCCAAACAATCAACCATCATCAAAAGGTATGTATTTCTACTAGTAGTTTTATGATTCATAATCCTTATGCTATGCTAGTTAGGAATAAACCTTGGAAGTTATTATTTGCATGTATTTTAGAAGAAAACATAGATCCAAGGTTTATTAGGGTTGCATGCACACTTAGGAAGTGTTAGATTGCTCAAAACCCAACAGATTCAGGATAATTCTTGAGGAAAGTATAGATAAGTGTGGAATGTAGTATTGGGCCCATGCTACTGAATGCACGGGTTCCATACTCGAATCAAGGAAAGTCACAGAGATTCTAAGGAGCCTGTAGGATCAGGAATTTTGTGGGTATGTTCTGATTATTGTATGGTTGCATTTTAGAATGGTGGTGAGCACTCGTGGAGGAGGATTTAATTCTGGCTCATGTGTTGGTGTTGAGTCGATTGATGAGTAAATGCGAGATTTCATCTCATCAGAGATCACCCACGGTATTTTGAATCAGACTCATGTGATATTTAGCAAGGTCAAGGAGGGGTTCATAGAGATTATGGATGAGCGTCTGGGCACGTTCCGTATTGACATTATGGCTTTCGTGGGAGCTTGCACTCTTACTTTCTATGAGTTTAGTGCTTGTGGGGCTCTCCAGTTCTTTGGGGAGAAGGACCCTATTTATAGTAGAAGGTGGTTAACAAACATGGTGACCTCTTTCCAGAGGATTTTCTACCCCGAGCGGTCGAAGGTCAGATTCACATCTTGTATTCTGAAAGACAGAGCTTGTGACTGGTGGAAGGAGGCAGATTTCACTTTGGGAGCGGAGGCCATTGAGACGTTGACTTGGGAAGAGTTTGTGACCCGGTTTAGGACGGAATTTTCACTAGCTATCAAGGTGTAACAGTTGGCGAGGGAGTTTCAGGACCTTTGCCTGACGACTGAGACTGTGGCGGAGATCACCACCAAATTTAAGGAGACGAACTTATTTGTTCCGCAGTATGCTGCAGAGAGGAGATGAAGAATAGAAGGAAAATTATATGTTGTGAGATTATATTAGGGAATTTGTGAGCATGTCCAGCTGTAAGACCCTAGAGGACATGATTCGTAGAGCCCAAGAAGGGGAGATGGAGTTGCTGCTTTTGTTGAAGTGTAGACCAGAGTAGGTTCAGACCGTAGTGGGCAAAGCAAAGAGGCCTAAGCCTTAGGATTCATGATTGGGAGGCCATTAGGGTCAGCGCCGTTGTGCCAAGTGTGGGAGTACTAACGAAGGAAATTGCCATGAGAAAAGAAGGGGATGTTTCAATTTACAACTTGACTGGTCATTTTAGCAGGAATTATCCTCGAGGCTCGATTCCGATGTGTTTTCACTGCAATCAGGTGGGCCATAAGAAGGTCGACTGTTCGAGGATGATGAGTGGAGCAGTGTTAGATCCTGCTCCAACTACATTGAGGATCACTAACGACCACATGGGTAGGGCAGAGGCTTTAGCGGTGAGGAGCCAAGCATTCATTTGCAGGATGGGGAGACCCGAGTTCCTCCAGGTGATATCACAGGTATGTTTTATTTTTTATTTCCTCACGCCTTATTATATTTATGCTTTTGATCATATGTTTGTATATGTGAGACGTTATATTCAGTTTAGTTAAGTCCCCACCTAAGGATCATAAGTCTTTATGACTGACTGGCTATTATTGTTGAAGGATCATTATATATCATTTTGCATACCGAGAGTCATGCTTGAAGAGTAACCGATTAATCTGGAAGTAGGTGTCATTTCGGGAGGCGGTGGGCAGTAATGGTGTGAGCATAGACGAAAGCAACCTGAGTGTCTTGCTTCGAGGACCAGCAGCTGGTTCAATGTTTTATATTCAACATGATGGGTCGGAAGGAGTTGTCGTGTAAGTCATTCGATCATTGGAATTCAAGATGATTGAGATCTTTCATGGTTAAGAGGTATAAGGGATTGTTTAGGAGGTGAGTGCATGGAAAGATGCTATCATATTCATGTTTTCAGTTATGCATGTGTAGTCTTCGCATCATAAGATTTTAGGCCAAGATCTCTTGGTAGCTGGTTTTCCCTTCTAGCACAGCGAAGTAAGAGTTCCAGTTATTTATGTTGCTTGGGTTGGATTTTATTTGATGGTTGATTAGCTCATTGAGTCGATTGCTACCATCAATTGGGTAAGAGTAGTGGTGACCTGTAACACCCTGTTTATTTAATAAATAAATAATCAAATTAATGATTAAGTATTAGCCCTAAAATTTATAATTGCATGGCAATGTGTTGGTCTCGAGGAGTTAATCATCATAATATTTGAGATTGGTGGTTAAAAGTGTAAGTCTAGACTGGTTTTGTAATTGATTATGAGGGCAGGGACCGCTTTATAAGTTATCGGGATTTAATTTGAATAGATTTTGGGAAACAAGGGCGAAATGGTAAATTCTAGATTTAATTTGTAAAGTTTTCTAAGGGCAGGGACTATTCGGTAAGTTTTGGGATTTATTATGAAAAGATTTATGGAAAGAGGGGCTGATTAGTAAAGTATGGGACTTAACTTGTAATGGATTTCTAGGATTGGGGTTGAAATGGTAAAATAAGGACCGAGTTTGAAAAGAAATTGGGAAGGAGGGTTTGTTTATGTCATTAAGGAATAATGTTTAGTAGCCTCGGGTATAAAACCTTGCTTCACCGGGTAGCAAACCCTAACCCCCTCCCCCCCTTATGTGCAACCGTCACCCCACCTCGCTCCAACCGCCATCATTCATATCCTTCTTCATTTTTGGCAATGCACCGCCACTATTGAGACTGTGAACCACCGAAGCCAACAGCCATGCCCTATCCTCCTGTCTGAGAGATCTATTGGAGACCAATTCGGAGTAAGGGTCCCTAGCCACCGCAACCATTGGAACGACTTCAACTACTGCTGCTTCACAGAGGCTTGCCATTGTCCCAGCCCCGCTACCGGAAATGATGTGTTCGCCGAGATGGCCGCCAATACCGACGATCGAGTTGGGTTTTGTTGTTGCGGGAGTCGTGAGTGACCGGAAGATCGATGGTAAGACCATCTGCCACCTTAGAGCTGTTATTCGTTGCTGTTATTGATCATTTCCGTTGTCGATCAGCTGCCTATCGTCGTTAACTACTGATGTTGTTGCAACCACCTCGTATTGCTGTCATTGCCACCCACCGTAGGTGGGTGTTGGGTGTATTTGTCCAAGCAAAAGGATCTGTGTGCGTGTTTTGGTGCATGTAAGTGTGTGTATTGCTGCTGTGAGAAGGTGTTGTATGGGTTGTTTGGCCGGAAATCATGAAAAAGGCCACCACCACCAGCGTAAGGTGGTGGCTACCACCTTCTACCACCACCGGCCACCATATGGTGGCTGTGTGTGTGTTTATGTTGTTTAGTGTGTGTGTTTATTTTGAGTTTCAGCATTGTAAAGTGTAAATTACAAATTAAATAATGAAAGGAAAACTGAAAACCACCATCGTGAGGTGGTGGCTGCCGCCACCGGCCGCCGTGTTGGGTGGCGGTGTGCTTTGATGGTGTTTTAACTCATTTGGATGTTTGGACAATGGAACTAAGACACCCTAATGGGCCCAATGAGGCTTAATGGGCTTAATAAACCCTAATAGGCCCAATAAAGCTTAATGGACCAAAAAGCCCAAATAGATGACTAATGGGCCTAACGAAACCTTAATTAGTCTAAAGAACCTTAATTAATCAAAAGACATATCAATTGGGCCTATTGGGCTAATATGGGCTTGGAAACCCTAATTAGGGTTTAGAAAACCCTAATTAGAGTTTAGAAAACCCTAATATAGGATTTATGGGCTTGGACTTATTGGAACCCACTTTTGGGCCATTGGAATTGAATTGTGTGATTAAGCTTAATCACACCAGATGACTTATTTAGAAGAATGATGGACTTAATGGGTTAAGTGAGAAATACTTTACCCTAATTGTCATTTTATGTGAAAACCCTAATTTCACTTGGGTTTATTGTTGGGCCTTTTATTAGGCCTTGATGATTGCGTTATTAATGGGCCATCCAAGATCAAGAAAATGGACTAGAATAATTAATGGGCTTTGAAGTAAGGCCCATATGAGGAGTTGGGCCCAATTTGGAAAATTAGGCCATATATATAGGCCATAGTTAGGCCTTAATGATTATATGATATTGGACCATTAAACTGTCAAAGGTTGAACTAAAAAAATGGTTGGGCCTTATGGTAAGACCTTGTAAAGGTTTAGGCCCAGTTTGGAAAATTGGGCCATATGTTGGGCTTTGATTTCCTAGTGCCTAAGGATTGGGCCTTAGGCTTGTATAAAGTCAACCTTGGGGTAATATAGTAATTATCCATGTAAGTATATATTATTATGTGTTGATACCCAATTATTAATTGGGTGTTATTTTGGTGTTGACGGTATAGGAATCTGTCAACCAACAACTGGGGTTCAACTTGCGTGTAACGCTCGTAGATCCGAGCTAGTCAATTTAGAGATAACAGGGGTCGAAAACGATTTTTTGACAAAAGATTATTTAGAATAAATAATCTTAACCAATTTGTATAATATGTCTCAAGGGTTCCGTACATATAAAGAACACCGAAATCCGAGTTATAACGAAGAAGTTATGGCCCGTCGAAGTTTTATGGCAAAACCGGCACGGCACCAGGAGATGTAAATAGTGAATTTATGATAGAGAACTTTTTAGCCTTATTAATTTAAAAAAAATCGTAGAATATGTTAAAATGAGAGCGTCCATAAAAAGAACACCCAAATCTGACTTCGTATGAGGAAGTTATGATTTTTCTAACATTTAGCATAACAGTGCACAACCCGAAAATTCAAATTTTAGATCGGTCGATTTTCAGCCAAAATAATCTAAATGAGAAATGAAGATATCATTAATAGGGGTTAAACGATAAAAATGCAGTCGAAAACGGAGCTCGTATGCGAAAGATATGGACGAAGCTTAGTATCTACTCTTCGAGCGCGACGAATTCGATACAGTTTTATGATACGAGATAGAATGAGGATTAGCCAACAGTGTCTAAATGAAAGTTGTAGTACTCATAAATACCAACATGTAGATATAAATAACATCAAAAACGAAGCTCGTATGCAAAAGATATGGACGAAGCTTAGTCTCTACTTTTCAAGCGCGGCGAATTCGAATACAGATTTGTAAATCTGAGATACAATAAGAATTAGCTGACGGGGTCTAAATGAAAGTTGTAGTACTCGTAAATACCAACGCATGGATATAAATAACGTAGAAAATGGATCTCGTACGCGGAATATACGGACGAAGCTTAGAGACTACTTTACTATAAAATTCCTATAAATAAAGGGTGAACTCCTCATATTTTCTTCACACCATAACCTTTCTTTCTATCTCTAACTTCTCTCTAGCCTCCCTAAACCCCTCCCAAGTCTAGGGAACCTCCCTAGCACGAGAAGGAATCCCCGGAGTGCCCGACAGCTCCGAGAAGAAAAGTTTTCGGCTCGGAAACGTTGCTCCAGCAAAGCCCGATTTTCCATAAAACCCGTTGTAAGTGAGTTATGCCTACGCTATTTTTTAAATAGCTTTTATTTAATTATAGTAGCGTTATTAGGAACTTATAATAAGTACATTAACGCTTATATAATAGTAATAATAGCTAGACTATTAATTAGTCTCGACGAATAATAGACTAAACTTTAATGTTAATAATACTAGGTTTCGTCGAAAGAAATTATTTTTTAGAAGCGAAGCGCTATCTGAGTTCGGAATCACCACCTTTTCAAGTGAGTGCATAGTTACTTTCATCTTACACATATATATATGAAGTATTTTATATAAACTACATGCTATGTGTGTATATTGTCTGAATACTTGTTGTCTATGCTGGGTGAAAGATTTTCATACATGTTTTAAATTATTTAAACTGTATACATATTTTATATCTACAAAATGTGTGGGGGTAAAACATGGGTAGATGAAATATTTTCTATGTGACAAAAATAAAATGATGAAGAGGTGATATAGACCAAGAGGTAAGGGTGAGAGGTGAACCATGAGAGAAGCCTTTTACCCAAGTGATGGCCCCGTCATCCAGTAGAGTATGGATGACAACCACAGACTATTCTAGACAGTCCAGTGGACACTAGTAGGCTCGCAACCTATAGGTGTTTTGAACTGTGTATTCAGCAGGTGTACTCTAAGAACCCATTGACATGTATTGCGAGTGTATTCTTGGAAACAATATCATCGATAAACGAGATAAAACCCATTGACCTGTATTGCGAGAGGAGTCTCAGAAACAATACTGTCAATAAACGAGATAAAACCCATTGACCTGTATTGCGAGAGGAGTCTCGGAAACGATATTGTCAATAAATGAGATAAACCTTGGTAACTATGGATTTAGTGCCTGTTGAGTAAACCTTTGCAACAATGGATTTCGTACCTATTCCTTAGGATAACCCTTAGGAATAAATGAACGAGGAATAGCTGAATTCTTATGGTAGAATAAAGAAGATAATGGGAATGGGTAATTGGGTTGATTGTCTAAATGTTTAAACATATTAATTATATTATTGTGGGTTGAAAACCCTATGTACTTGTAATAGCCCGAAATTCAGGTAAGCCTTATGACCCTTCTACTTTGAGAGTTGGCAAGATGAGTCCCTTAAAGTTATATGTTGGATTTCTGAGTACGCTGGGCGTAAAGAAGCATACGCCGTGCATATTCACGAGCTTATTTTGGACGCGGACTCGCCCGGGTACACTGGGCGTAGTGTGCCCAGATGCAAACCCTAAATTCTGGCTTGTGCACTATAAAGGAACGTCTAGTCCTTTGCCCCAGCCACCATACCCCCTTGAGTGAGCCCTTAGAATGCATAAATCCGTGTATAAGCTTTTGTGTGTTCTTGAGCTTGAAGGTACCTTTTTAAGGTGAAGAAGGAGAAGAGGAAGCCATTGTTGGATCTAGAAGTGGAAGAGCAAGAGTAGATACGAGTTCTACAGTGGTTGGAGATCCCTTTTGAGGTAAAAAGCTTCAAGATTTACCTCTTTATGTTCATACTTTGTATAGAGAAGTTTTAGGGTTTTTGGTCCCCAAGTTCATAGCTTTTTGAGTGGTTGAGCTCTTAGAAGCCGAGATCTATCCCATACTAGCTCATTTAGTGTTTTTATGTGATAAAAATCCAGTCTTGGTTGTTAAAGGTTGTTCATGCATGAGATATGGACATTTTAAGGTTGGAAATAGAGTGTTTTAGGTGTTTGTGACTTCCACAGCCATGCAAAGGCTTAAAGTCACCAACTTTATGGATTAAGCCATGTTAGAGAAGTCAAATCTGGATTTTGGACGCAATACTTAACCGATTAAGACCTTAATGAAGAGGAGGAGAAAGTTGGGAGTTACGCTGGGCGTAATCCTAATACGCGCGGCGTAAGGGGCCGCATACCCTGATTCTGTGAAGCCATCGGGTACGCTTAGTGTACAGATCTGGTACGTGCCGCGTACCCCAGAAGGTTGACTTTTGTTGACTTTTAGGGTTTGTTCAACTCTAGAGTATTTGAGCCTTGAGAGGGGTAAAAGGGTCTTTTACCCTCCTGAGAGTGCTAAGAGAGGGAGTGGTCTAGCCTTGGGAAATGTGTTGATGTCGAGTGTTTATTTCGTATGATTAAGCGGAGGCTAGATCCTATTTTCACGGAGTCCGAGATTTCCGAGTTACCGAGTTACACGAGGTGAGTCTTCTCACTATACGTTACCTACAGTGGTATTATGAGTTGACCGGAAGGTCTTATGTGCTATGTATGAGATTATATGTTATGTGATGTAAGTATGATATATAATTGTATAGACCGGACCGGAGGGTCCAACGATTCAGACCGGACTGGAGGGTCCAACGAGCTATGACCGGATCAGAGGGTTTAACGAGCTACGGGACTGGAGGGTCCCACTGAGACACATCGACCGAAGGGTCGTACAGTAACCTCGAGTGGAGTATATGTTGTATGTGGTATATTGGGGAACTCACTAAGCATTTATGCTTACAGTTATTGTGTTATGTGTT